GTCAGAAGAAGTTTGTTCTATAAAAAGTCAAGATAGCCTACCGCAATTTCAAAGCATAGGTCACCTAAAAATTCTTAAAGAACCCGGATTTAACGGGTGTTGAAGATGAAGTTCCCTCCCTTGACATTCGTGATTAATTCGAGTTAGTGAGCTGATTTTGTTAACTCTTGTCACAGTAAAGAGTTCAAGGTAATATTTCTTCCTCAATGTTATTTTTTATTGCTTATATATGAACATTAACTCAAATATTTTTTGTTTTCATGGGAATTAAGATCTATAAACAAGGTGAAGGTGAAGAAAAACAAAAATCCTTACCTAAAAGAGCGCAAGAGTTATGTTACAATTGAGAAATATTATTTGAAGGAGCAAGGATTAAAGGGTTCTATATCTCATGGCAAGATTTGGGCTTTGGCCAAAATAAATAATTTGGGAAACATTCAAGATTTCCATGTAGGGGAGGTTATCAACAAAATTGTATTATGTAGGGGAGGCCAAAATAGATAATTACCTCGATCCTATTAGAGGCCATTCAGATAACCGAAAACATATTATGAAATTTTGTTAAAATAAAATTTAAAAAATATTGTTAAAATATTTAACATTTATTAAGAAAATGATCTTTTAAGAAAATTAATATTGATTAATTCTCTTAAATTTTCTAGATCATTCTTTATAAATTTTTTTGTTAAACCAATAGTCAAATTAATGGATATTTAGAACTAAAGTGTCACTTGTTTTTAATTGGTATTTTCATATAATGCAATATGTTTCTAATTTTAAAATTGGGAAAATGAGTTGCAAATTTAACAAGACAATATTAATTTTATTTTTCTTTAGTGGTTCATTTCCTCATTTTTAATAAAAAGTTACAAAATATTAAAATATTAAATTTGGGTAGTGCAATATTTTGGAGAAAGACTGTTAGTTGACTAAAAAATTATAAAGAATGATCTAAAATATTAGTTAAGGTATAATTTTTCTCTAAACTAATCTCAGAAAAGAAATGTTGTTCCTAAACTAATTAAATTGAAGTAATGTTGGCCTCGCCGTTTAAATGTATGTTCACTGTACTAGTGGGACCCACTTTTTTCATGGATTAAGGTGCAATTTTTTTTCCTAAACTATTCTTAATGGAGAAATTTTTCTCCTAAACTAATTTAATTAGAGCAATGTTGTCCCCTCCATTTAAAAATTATAAACGTTCGCTAACTAGAGAGAGATAATGAAAAGTATTTTTTGTACTAGTATCCTTCCATTCACATCCTTTCTAACATCCAATATTCATGTGAAAGCATTTATCCGTGTCATGATATTCTCCACAACATTCCAACAATTCATGAATTATACATTGAGAAGAAGCTCAATTTTTGTACTAATTTTCTTGAGTGACAAATATAACAATAGTTGAAATATAAATTATCACTGACAACGCTATAAGAGGAGCTCTTGATCCAACAAAAAGCATGTAAACAATATTTTTGGGGTAAAAAGGTCGCTTCTTATCGTCTTGAGTGGATCAATCTCCAAAATTGACTATCATACATAAATATAATCTCTCATATGCATTATAAACAAAAAAAAAAGCCTATACATAGAACATCATAAAGTGGTACACAAAAACCAATTCAGCAACTGGAATGCCACAGTCTAGTTGAAATCTTGACCTGATTCAATATTAACTAGATAGAGATAATTAAAAGTAAGTTTCACTAGCTATAGTTAATGAATGTTTATGATTTTTAAACTACGAGGGCAATATTACTCCTTTGAAAATAGTTGAGGGGTAAAATTACACTTTAACCCATGAAAAGTGGGTCCTACTAGTACAATTAAAAGATGTTTACATGGCAAGGGCAACATTACTATAATTTAATTAATTTAGAGGCAACATTACTATGATGAGTAATTTAGGGACAATATTACTTTTCAAAGAATAGTTTAAGGGAAAAATTGTACCTTAACTCTAAAATATTTAAAATACTTAATAATTATAATTTTCTTATAAGGTCATTTTTATAATTTATTTGAAAATATTATGGTTATTATTATTATTTATAAATCTTCACTTACAATTTACAAGTCATCTATAAATTTTTGAAAAACTAGTTTGAGCTATTAATATTAAAAGATAATTTATAAATTTTTATAAATATTTACAAATGATAATATTTAAAATTAAATATTAAAATGTTAAATATTTTACCAATATTTATTAAATTTTATTTTAACAAAATTTCAGGGTGCCTAATGCTATTAGAAAAAGAGCTTATAGGCAAACTAATACCAAAAGACATGCCACATCACCAAAAAATGATAGAGTTAACATATCACTAATGGAGGAGAATTTTTGCTCTTCTAGAAAATAGCTTAGGAGGAAAAATGCTTTACTTATTAGTACATGGGGCTTAATACTCCTCAAAGGAAAGTGGAGAGGAAAAAAATGTACTTGAACCCTTTTTACATATATAAGATGTGGCACCCAAGTACCACATATCATGCATGCACATTTATTTGGTGCTCATCACCTTGATGAGTATTGAGTGCTTATTAGCCAAAAGATTGATATGGTCCTTTCGTTAATTTTAGTTTGAACTGATCCTTCCCGTTCATTTTGAATTGAGTTTAGATAGTTTTAAAATTATATTTATTAAAATAAAAATTTATGAAAATTGTAAAAAAAAATTAATATACTGCAGATCGATGCACCAACTCATCTTAAGCTAACCAATAAAAACATCACAACTTAAGTAAAATGAATCCCACAAATTATAGATTTTCAACTTTTTAATAATTCAATAGCAGCGTTTTTGTTTTTAACTTTATCTTCCCCTGTAATTCGACTTTTTAGTTTTTAGGGAGAATTACAGTTAGGTCTCACACATGAGAATTAATTACTGCAAGGTCCATTGACAACTAAACTAAACTGCATTGACATTGACAAAATCAATGCAGTTTAGTTCAGTTGTCAATGGACCTTGTAGTAATTAATTCCCTTGTGTGGGACTTTAATATAATTGTCCCTAGTTTTTATATCCATTCCAGTTAATTCACATTAATTACTCGCATTGGCTTGAAAGCACACTAGTGTCTTCCCTCAACAAGCTCAACTTGATCTAGCAATTCACAGTGTGATTTATGACAGGATTAGTTTTGTAATTTAACAAGTTCAGATAAAAGTCATTCTTAATTAGAATTATAAATCATAGCTAAAATTTGTCCGTTGGTCACTGTCCATTCCTAACCAAGATAGTTTCGGTTATTCAAGTATTTTTCTTTTCTTTAATATGGGGTGTTTTAGTCAGAAAGCATTGACTCATTCCTTAGTTTAACTTTGATTTATAATGATATTAATTTAATTATGTATTATTTGACCGTAGTTTAACCTTTATTTGACTAATGAACCAGTGTCACCACTAATTTAATAATTGGTCTTACTTACATAAATGTTTGTTACAGTGGACAAGGTCAAATAATGACAAGGTGGCATTTATTAACCAGGGAAAAGCATTAACAAATCCCTCATATATCGTGTAATGTGCACTCAACATGCCACTGGTTTGTTGATATAATGCTCTCAGCTTCATTCAAAGTCAAGAAAGAAATGGACAGGAACTCATTCTTGGGTGACCTATATATTACCCTTTGGATAAACTCGCAACTTCCTTCGCGAGAAACACAGGAAAGAAACATATGAAGAATTAGCATTACAAATTTGTAATTAAAAGAATTTAACAAAAAGAAAATAATGCACTCATTCACTGTACCATTTAAAAGGGTTCTAATTAACATAAGGTTCCATGACATACACAAACTATCCTCAAGTCTCAAATCCTTTATTTGTAAATAATTAAATTTTTTGTATAATTATTAAAATACCCTTATTCTACTTTTCTTTTTTTTAAAAAAAAAAAACTTAACCCATTGATTATTGGTTGCCAGAGCTTTGTTGGTCTTGGACCACTTATACTTACTGATATATTAATTAATTAGTACATAATATATATATATATATATAATGACTTGTGTCTAGATTAAAAATGACAACTTGCGTATAGAAAAATAACAATTTGAATATATAAAAATGATAATTTGGGTATAGAAAAATACCAATTTGAATATAAGAAAAGGGTTAATAGGTATTTTGCCCCTCGACAATTTATAATCTTTTACGTATTTTTTTAATAATTTCTAGGTTTTTCTATAATTCTTTAAGGAACTAATTATTAAAGTTAATATTTATTAATGATAGATGAAACGTTGTGCTAAAAAAAACTGAAGATACCATACGCGCTTACATGAATAATTGGAAGATATAATATTACATAAATTAATAACTATATGGCAAATTACTAGAAAATAAGTTTCAACGATTAGACATGATCAATGAACCATAAGAAATATCTTTTAATTTTAAGACAAAGTTTAACATAATCCAACAACCAAACTGTCTTAGCGGTTTAAAAAAAAAAACTATTTACTTTCGTTGTTTTTTTTTTTTATGGTTATAGTTATAGATGAAGTTATTCAAGTGTTGTCATATTTGAATGGGAGTAGTTCTCTTAAAAATATGTTCTACATTTACATGGACTCAAATTCAAGATTTTATGCATAAATGGTTATTATAATCTCTTTCACTAGAACTAGTTAACATCTATTGGCAAAATCTTATTTAATTTTTTTAATTGCGTATTCTTTATTATTATTATTTTTTGTAGCGTAGTTTTTATTGATGCCTACTCGTACACAGAATTTTCAAGTTTGTAGTTTAATTTTTAGCATTTCTTTTCCATATCTTTGCTCCAGTGATTTCTTGTTTCCCATTTGTTTTTATTCAGTCTACCGGACCAGTTTAATTTAAAATATCACATTTAATTAATAATAATAATAATAATAATAAAGTTTAAAAAAATAAATTAAATTTCAACTGTTTAAAAAATAAGTCGTTTATATTCCCTCCAACATCTCTTGTGGTTGAATACACACAAACCCAAAGAGAACCCCTCCCCCTCCAAAACACCCACACAAAAACAAACCAAGTGGTTATACTTCCTTAAATTAAATAACAGGGGCGATCGAGGCTTTGATCAACGTTGAGTTAGTTCCTAATTAAACATCTGTCGAAAGAAGATGAATAAGATCATGCAGAAGCTTGTCTGGAACCGTATTTTGACTTTTGTGTTTCTCTTTATCTTCTTTCAATTCTCTACTGCAACGGCTCAGATGCGTGATAATAAGAAACGTCCTCCTGATCCACGCTGTAAGGATATTATTAACTCATCCTTTTTTTCATTTCTTTAGGGTTTTATTTAAGTTGTAAACGTAATGAAAATTATATTTCAGACTTCATTCATCATGTTCATTATTTTTTTTTTTCTCTTTTGATTCGTCCCTAGAACCTATTTTTCATTTTGCTAATATATATGCTTGCTGATCTGTTTAATGCAATAGACCGTCAATTTAGTGATTGGCCTCCCCATGACTAAGTAGACGTATATGGCAATGGTGTGCTCAAGCTGCGTTAAGGAGCTCGAAGACCACCATCTTTGAATAAGATAATGTTTCGTAATTGATTTCAACGTACAGGAACTAGGAAATTTCAGGCCAAAAGGGGGCAAAAAGAAAAAAGAAAAAAGAGGACCTGAAAATAAAAATATATATATATATATATGTGTGTGTGTGTGTGCGTGTGTGTATGTATAGTTTGTGTTTTTTGAAGGTTTGTGCAGGATAAACCTGAAGATCATCAATTTCTACTGCTGTGGCTACGTGCTTTTCCTATGTATTGTTATAATTCATCGCCCTCTCCATCTATCTCTCTCTCTCTCTCTCTGTTGTTTTTGCTTAATCATTGATTCTATTTAATGAGAACCAGAGCTGTAATTGATGAACAATCGAGATGCTGATTCAACAGACTCCTCAGGCCATAGCCAAACCAATTACAATAAAATGACTATATTTTTCATTGTATATATTAAATATTTTGAAAGGAGTGCTGTTATATGTGTTTTAAATATTTCAGAAAAATAACCAACTCACACATTAGAAAATTGGTTAAGTATAATAATGTCTGAAATTAAAAAATGTAGACCAAACTATCCTTGTAAATAATGAAACAAATTTATGCAGTGAACGTAAGCATTAACTTTATAAGGTATAATTTGGTAAAAATGTGATAAATACTTCTTGAAATTTGTAGTTTTACTTACATAAAAAAAAAAAACATGGAGGTATATCATAGTTTCTATGATAGAAAAAAATGAAAAGAAATTCTGCATTTGGGTTGAATTCCGAAGATGTTATCAATGGTTCATAATTACCAAAAACAAAAAACAAAATTACGATGGGATACACAGTGGTTGAAAATTTTGAAGGAAGGAGGGATAAATTGAGCTCCAATAACTAAGAGGGCAGGCATGTGAATTTAATATTATGAAATATTACTTATTTCATGAGATGAATGGCATGTTATAAACTCGATCGCATCTGGTTTTGATGGGCATTTTGGTTTTGACCGGTTTACATGTGAAGTTTAGCTTTGAATTAACTTGGAAACTTTCAAATGATTATACACAGTCTGATAAAAAACTTGATACAAATTTTAACATCTTTTTTCATTAATCCTCATTGGAAAGACATTTTCCTTTTGACTAAACTACTTGTGACAACCTGAACTCCTGCGACAATCGCTTATGCTTCAGTGTGAACAATTATGCAGAAGCTTTAGCATTTTTATTGAATGCGTGCATACAAAATGAAATTAGAATTAGGGAGGCATTTCATCGAACATCTTCAAGGCATGAAGGGGAAGAAAGTTTTTGAGCCAACAATCAGTGTAGAAGGAATTTAATTAGTTTTTTAATTTTTCTTTTACTTTCTACAACGGTTAATATAGCAGCCAATATAGAAAATCTATCAAAACTACAACATATTTACAAAATTGACACTATACATTCTACATTAATTCCTTTTTACCTTTAATTTATAAAATTCCGGTATAAAAGACCTTTTGTTTTGCAGTAGTAGTATAAAAAAGTTAAATCGGAATTATAGGAATACCTCAATTGAATTTAGATGTTTTGGAACAATTCCAAAGGACTTTCGTTGACAGAGCAGAAATATAATGATAGATAAGATTGATAAATGGAGTAGAAATGTTGCCTATCTCTTCAAGGACTTTCACAACTTTTCTCCACGATCGCTCCCTATTCCTGATAAGGATAGTTTCGTCTATTCAAGTATTTTTCTTTTCTTTAATATGGGTTGTTTTAGTCAGAAAGCATTGACTCATTCCTTGGTTTAACTTAGATTTATAATTATATGAATTTAATTATGTATTATTTGACCATAGTTTAACCTTAATTTGACTAATGTACCAGTGTCAACACTAATTTAATAATTGGTCTAGTTACATAAATGTATGTCCCAGTTGACAAGGTCAAATAATGACAAGGTGGCATTTATGAATGAGGGAAAATCATTACAAAATCCCTCATATCGCGCAATGTGTACTCAACACATTTCTTTCTTGATATAATGCTCTCAACTTCATTCAAAGTCGAACCCCCCCCCCCCCAAAAAAAAAGGGACAGGAACTCATTTTTGGGTGACCTATTACCCTTTGGATAAACTCTCGCAACTTCCTTCGACAAACGCAGAAAAGAAACATCTGAAGAATTAGCATTACAAATTTGTAATTAAAAGAATTTAACAAAAAAGAAAATAATGTACTTATTCACTATACCATTTTATTGGGTTTTAATTATCATAAGGTTCTATACCATGCACAGACTATCCTCAGGTCTCATACTCTCTGTTTGTAAATAAATTTTATATATAACTAATAAAATACCTTTATTCTTCTTTTTTTTGGAAAAAAAAAGAACTTAACCCATTGACTACTGGTTGCCAGAGCTCTGTAGATCTTGGACAACTTATGATTATTGATGTATTAATTAGTACAGAATAATAAATATAAATGGGGGTAGATCTCTCAAAAATATATTTTACAGTTACATGGATTCAAATTCAAGACTTTATACTTAAATGTTTATTATAATCTCTTTCAATCGAACTAATTAACATCTATTGGTAATCTTATTTACTTTTATTTTTGAATCAATCATCTTTTCATGCGTATTATTTATTTACTTATTTATTTTAAGCGTAGTTGTTGATGCCTACTAGTTACACAGAATTTTCAATTTTGTTGTTAAATTTTTAGCATTTCTTTTCAATATCTTTGCTCCAGTGATCTCTTGTTTCCCATTTGTTTTTATTCAGTCTACTGGACCAGTTTAATTTGAAAAATCATATTTAATTAATAATAACAATAAAGTTTAAAAAATGTAAATTAAATTTCAACTGTTTAAAAACCAAGTTGTTTATATTCCCACATCTCTTGTGGTTGAACACACACAAACACACACACACACAGGCCCCTCCCGCCTCCAACACACACACAAACAAACAAAGTGATTATACTTCCTTAAATTAAATAACAGGGGCGATCGAGGCTTTGATCAAAGTTTAATTAGTTCCTAATTAAACATCGGTTGGAAGAAGATGAATAAGATCATGTGGAAGCTTGTCTGGAACCTTATTTTGACTTTTCTGTTTCTCTTTATCGTCTTTCAATTCTCTGCAGCGGCTCAGATGCGTCATAATAAAAAACCTTATTTTGAACTCATCTTTTTTTTTTTTTCATTTCTTTAGGTTTTTGCTTAAATTTTAAACATAATAAGAATTATATTTCAGACGTCATTCATTGTGTTCATCAATTTGTTTTTTCTCTATTGTTTCGTCCCTAGAACCTATTTTTCATTTTGCTAATATATATGTCTTGCTGATTTGTTTAATGCAATAGACCAATTTGGAGATTGGCCTCCCCATGACTAACTCAAGCTGCACAAAGGAGCCTGAAGACCACCATCTTTGAGCAAGATAATGTTTCATAGTTGATTTCAACGTATAGGAACCAGGAAATTTCAGGCCAAAAGGAGGGGGAAAAAGAGGACCTAAATATATATATATATATATATAGTTTGTGTTTTTTAAAGGTTTGTAAAGAATAAACCTGAATACCATCAGTTTCCACTGCTGTGATTATGTGCTTTTCCTATGTAATGTTATAATTGATGGTCCTCCCCATTATTCCATCTGCGCGGGCGGGCGCGCGGTTTTGTTTTTTTGTTTTTTGCTTTATCATTGATTCTATTTTATGAGAACCAGAGCTGAAATTGATGAACAATCGAGATGCTGATGGAAGAAGAAATTCTGCTTTTGGGCTTGAATTCGGAAGATGTTATCAATGGTTCATAATAACAACGACAACAATAATAATATGGGATACACGGGTTGTTGAAAGTCTTGAAGGAAGGAGTGATAAATTTAGCTCCAATAATTAAGAGGACAAGCATGTGAATTTAATATTATGAAATATTAATTATTTCATGAGACGAATGGCATATTATGAACTCGAACACATCTGGTTTTGATGGGCATTTCGGTTTTGACCGGTTTATACATGTGAAGTTTAGCTTTGAATTAACTTGAAAACTTTCAAATGATTATACTCAGCCTGCTCAAAAACTTGATACAAATTTTAACCTCTTTTTTCATCAATCCTCATGGGAAAGATATTTTCCTTTTCACTAAACTACCTGTGACCACCCGAACTCCTGCGATGACATTCGCTTACGCTTGAGTGTGAGCAATCATGCAAATGCTTTAGCATTTTTACCCAATGCGTTCATAAAAAAATGAAATTAGAATCAGGGAGGCATTTCATCGAACATCATCAAGGCATGAAGGGGAAGAAAGTAATTAAGCTAACAATAAGTGTAGAAAGAATTTAATTATTTAAAAAAAACTTTTCTTTTAGGAATACCTCAATTGAAGTTAGATGTTTTGGAACAATTCCATAGGACTTCTGTTGACAGAGCAGAAATACAATGATAGATGAGATTGACAAATGGAGTAGAATACTGCCTATCTCTTTAAGCACTTTCACAACAAACAGCTTCCAATTCAGATGATTGTTCCCTTTCTAAAATCAAATATATTATATGATTGACATTTAGACTTGTTTTCTCTCCATTCTTTCCTTCATATGAGCCACCATCATCTCCTTCTCTAATCTCTTTTATAATGTTATCATATATATTCCTACTAGGATCAAAACTTACTTCAAATGGGTGGATTGATATGATCACTTATGAACATAGATTGATATCTTAAGCAATTGGGCAGCAGTTATCAACTTGTATTTGGGGTTAACCCATTTGGAAAATGTCTACGTACCTTTAGTATTGTACGAGCTGGTAATAGTATATGTTTCATTTTCAAAGTTTGAGTGCTCGCATTACTAAATACTGTAGGTTATGGAATATAGAAAATTGTTCATTCCCTTTTATTGGTAAAAAATTGTTCATTTTCTAAATTTTCTCTTGAATATTGAAATAAATTAAATTGGAAAGTTAAGGAATTAACGAAAACTGTTCCTTCCTAGCAGGTTTTTTATTGCGAGGAAAGTTATTCTTATAGTTTCATGGAAACATAGATTCAGCTTTATGAGAGTTTGACTATTTCAATGAAGGACACAGAAAAAGATTAAAATTTCAAATACATGAGACAATGACATGTCCATCACAAAATTGGTGTAATTGGTGCAAAGTTAATCTATTCCAATGGTAATAAAGTGGGAAATCTCAAATGTCAACTTTTTGATTTAATGACATTTTCATTATAAAATAAACTTCTTTATTCCAAGCGGTGACTGAGCAAAAGAATCGAACAATGATGGAACACATTTCTCTATTCTTTTTAGCAGGAGCAGAGAAATCGGATTCGTTATTTAAACTGGGTCACGATTTGACTTGTTCAAATATGACTTAGTTAATTAGACATCAATTTTCATTTACCTAATTAGAATATAAATTATATAATAATATGGAATCTTAGAAATCATT